TATATATATATATATATTCATGACATTAGGTTTAGTCTGCTGTAAGAATGCTTAACTTCTTAAATTCCACATAGTTCAAATTCAGCTTTTTTGTGACGCAGGCTTAATAATTTATTCATGTCATATAATTATATTATATTATATTATATTATATTGGAAACAAAATGTAAAATAAATTGTTTATTTAAGATCATTTATGCTTTTATTTTATTTTGATTTCATTTCAATCTGATTTCAATTACAAAGGTCACTAATGAACTTTCCATTAGTAATAAGTCATAAATTCAGATTTGATTTGAATTGATTTTTGGTCAAAGGTATTTTTAAAAAGGGTCTCATATAGAGACTTTAACTAGAAGACTAACCTACCCATGTTAAAGCATATTTCTCATAAATCCTATAGAGATCACAATGAAAACATAAACCTCTAGATTTACTGGGTAAGAAATCCAGTTCTCTCGTCTTTCATGAAACGGCTTTCTAGATAAATGATGAGGTTGTGCTCAGGTACCTGGTCTCAGACACGATGTTTGTTAAAGCTCCTCCCTGCAGATACTCCATGATGACCCAGAGCTCCTCCTCCACCAGAGCGCTCTTGAACATCTCCACCACGTTCCTGTGCTGGTAATCTCTCATAATCACCACCTGAACACACACCAACACACCCTCATCAACACTCATCAGCATAGCAAATGCACAAAAATAAATCTGTTTGTTTAAGGGTCAGAAGTTGCTTTTGAAATGTTGCTGCTGAACTTTCCAAAAGTCATATCTCAATATATTCAAGTGGTCAAAGATGTTTTTTTTTTATCCATAATCCTTTATTTTATTTTATTTTATTTTATATATTATTTTATATTATATATTATTTTATTTTTTGGGGCAGCCGGAGTGTCTCAGGTAGGGGTCTGGCCCGGTGGGCCGGTAACTGATGTTGGGCGAGAGGCCGATGGTGTAGCTGGAGGAGGAACGCACCGTTCTGTGAGGCCTGGTGCCGCTCACGAGGGGACTGCTGGTGCCGCTGTGCAGATATCCCGGCTGGTGTCTCATGGCTGCGTCGGCCTGTGTGCAATAGAAATAAGGACATGGGCTGGTTTTCCTTTACTTTGTTTATCAACATGCATTCATCTGACAAACACTTTTCAAAGGGAATTACAGAGCATTCAAGATATTTTATTAGTATACAGTACTGTTCAGAAATTTGGGGTTTTAGTGTTTTTGAAAGAAGTCTCAAAAACCTTCTGCTCACCAAGGTTGCATTTATTTGATCAAAAATATTGTAAAAACTGTAAAATATTATTAGGGGGTTCAAGCACATAGTGCTGAAACCCTATTACAATTGTAGGGATTTTTATTATTATTCTTCTCCGCTAAAACTGATCTTGCAGACCAAATCATAAGGCCTAGAGAGCTGAAACTGGTCAGATGGTAGTAGTATTGACTGCTACTCGCCCCAATCGGCCTATGGGGGGCGATCGAAAACGCAAAACTGCTCATAACTCCTAGACCATTTGTCGTAGACTCAAATTTTACATTTTTGGAGTCCTTGGGTCAAAACGCACAAAAATGCCGGATTTGCTCTACGAAGTCCGGTTTTTCAGCAAAATTGAGTTATGTCCAAAACATACTATTGCAAACTAGTCGTAGGTTTTTCACCCGATCGGAACCAAACCACTGCAGAAATATTCTCTGGACAGTGAATATCAGTAATTATCAACAAAAAAAAAGTTTAAATTTCGACTCACCGTTGCATAGGGACGCCAAAACGTTCGTAAGGGGCGGGGCCACTTTTACTAAAATGGCTATAACTCCTGAATGGAATGAGATATCTTCACCAAACTCGGTACACATGTGTAAGAGCTTAATCTTTGATCAAATAAAAAAAATGCACAACTCTGCCACTCATTGTGAGATAAAAAAACTCAGAATTCTGAGAAAAATCGTGAGATATAAAATCAGAATACCAAAAAAAATGGTGAGAAATAAACTGATTTGCAAGATTTCAAAGAATTCAAAGAAAAAAAGTCATAATTATGAGATGTAAATTTAGAATTTAGAGAAAGTCAAAATTGTGAGATATAAAAGCAGAATTAAAAAAGTTATAAATTGCGAGATATCAACTCAAACAATCAGAATTGTGATATAAAAACTCAGAATTACAAGAAAGAAATCAAAATAGCAAAAACAGAATTATGAGAAAAAAGGTCAGTATTATAAGATGTAAAATCAGAATTCTGAGAAAAAAAATCTGAATTACAGAATATAAACTTGCAATTGTGAGGGAAAAAATTCTAAATCGCAAGATGTAAACTCACCATTCAGAGAAAAACTCAGAATTATGAGATAAAAACTCAGAATTACAAGAAAAAGAAAAAAATGTGAAATGTAAACTTAGAATTCAGAAAAGTCAGAATTGCGAGATATTAAATCAGAATTCTGAGAAATTAAGTCAGTATTAAAAGTCAATTGCACCCTCAGATTCCAGATATTCAAATAGTTGTATCTCAGCCAAATATTATAATATCATATCCTAATAAAACATACATCAATTGAAAGCTTATGTATTCAGCTTTCAGATGATGTATAAATCTCAATTTAAAAAAATGGACCCTTATGACTGGTTTTGTGGTCCCGGGTCACATATTTTTATTCCGTGGCAGAATAATGAGCCTGCTGGCCACAGAAGTCAGCTGTTTGTTACCTTCAGGTCGTATGAGGAGTACGGTCTCCCCGGGCTGTTTTGCAGATGGACCAGCAGTCTGTTGGCGCTCCTCATGTCCGGCGTCAGACCGTCTCCGTGTGGCATGGTGGGGCTGTAGAAGCAGGTGATGGGTCTCTGGTTGTGCGAGAACACGATGGGGAACTCTCGTCTCATCATGAGAGGCGGCTCCGGGACGGGGATGGACGGCGGAGGAGGAGGAGGAGAGCTCATGCTGACCTCATAGGTGGATTTGGTGCGGGGCAGAACGCCATTGGGCTGTAGCATCACACTCTTCTTCAGACCCATGTACGGCGTGCCGCTCTCGCTGTGGATGTTGCGTGATTTATCGGCCCAGTGAGGGTCAGGCTCGTCCAGGACTTCATACTGATACACATCGGCCTCGCTGACCTCACCGAGGCGGCCGAGAGACTGCGCTCTCTTGCGGGCCGACGGGCTGCTCTTGCGCAGGGAGTTGGAGCTGGTGACGGACAGACGGCTCATGTCTGACAGCATGGCTGATATATAGTCTCCGTGGCCGATCATGCTGCCGCACACGATGGTCTGGGGAAAGAACAGAGGCAGGCTGTGATTAATGCGAACTGAAACCGGCCGCTATTTAAAGAGCGTGTGAATTCACCTGGGTGCGGATGAACTCCAAATCACACTTTCCTCCGAGGAGCCTATTTCTGGCTGATTTGTGTTTATGAAACGCTGAATGACTCGTCTGAACTATCGCAGGACTGCTTCTCTTGCAAATGAAGACTAATGCAAAGAGGCTTTTTTTGTTGATTATTGATGATTTTTGTCACTTTTATGCAGTTTTTTGTATTACTGATAATATATAAAATGCATTTATTTATTTATTTATAATAATATAAAATTGCCTTTTCTGCAAATTGGACTGACAGACTAAGGATTTCTTTAGTGCAAATTAAAAGCAAGGCAAAGTAAAACCTTTTTATGAAAACAGGCTGTTTTGTTAATTACTGATGATGCCATTTATGTCACCTGTATGTAGTTTTTATATCTATCTATCTATCTTTCTATCGTTCTATCTATCTATCTATCTATCAGGGATGGGAAGATTCCCCGACTCGCTCTGTGCATCGGCATAAAAAGTGTGCATCGGATACAAGTTGGCTTTTGTATCGCGATGCATCGTTTCTAACATATTTGCATCGGTAAAAACCGATTTATTCATATATAATTACTAGTGGATGCGCTATACTTTTATTGTTTAGAAAGTGACCAATAATCTGTGACCAATATTTTATATGTAGATTGACTTCTCCTCTTTAAACTGTTTCTCAAGCGCGCTCTCTCATCACCGCTGCTGCTGCGGGAACATGACGCATCACAACACTACAGAGACCCGAGGTAAAACTGGGATTAATTGTAATTGGGACTATTGTAATGGGTAAATCAAATGTAAGCTAGTACAGTCCTAATTACTAAGCTCAAATGAGTTAATGTGTGTTTCTTATAGCAGTTAAAATAGTCATTTTCTTTATTATTTATTTTCATTTTTAATTCAGTGATTTTAACTTTTCATTTAGTTATTTTAATGCTTTAAAGAGCAATTTTAGATTGTAATGTTCTGCTATCTGTTCTGCAAACTATAAAAAGTACAGCTGTCATAAAACCAGAGAGAAAGGCTGCATGGATAGAAACTATAAAAATA